AAAAAAAAAAACAACCAAACATTTCAATCAAATTAATAATAAAATACACAAATTCCTATTTTCCATTATCATCCCTTTAAAAACAAAAAAACATTTCCTTCTTTTTCATCAATAACTTATTATTCCTTATTATTATATAATTCATGCTATCTGTATGAACAAAATTCTCAAACAATTCAATAATTTTGAACATGATCTTACCACTGACAAACCAACGTCCATATCACCCTATCTTTGATCGCAAGAAGCGAATGGAAACCTCAGAAGAACGTCTCTCTATTAACCCAATCAAATGCAGCCCACAGGTGTCCACAATCGGTCCATTTCAACCCTCAAAGGAAGGCGATTTTCAACGTACAGTTGAATGAACTGCAACAACCAAGTTCTCCTCCTCCCTAGTTTTCACTCGTTCGTTCCAATTCAACTCTCGATTCAAGAAAATCAAAAGTAACCCACGGATCGATGAAGAAAAAGAGGGTTAAAGGAGAAAGATAAACTGGGAAGAAAGGAAGGAAGGATGAAAAATAGTCGGGCAGGATCGAAGGATGGAACATCGAATAGAGGCGAGCGCCAGGGAAATTAGGTTGTTAAGATTTAATCGGACACAGAGGCATTTTAAACGTCTCGTTCCCCGCTTGATAGAGGATGGCGTCGCGGGTGGGCACAGATTTAAATTGCACTCCCTTCCTTGAGCCACCACGCTTTCCAGTCACTGTGCCACGCTGTCCGAAAGAGATAGCGAGGATCGTTAAGATTTCTGGCGGATTCCATTCGTCGGAATTTCATTTGCGACTTCACCCTCTGCACACCTTTATCCTTGTAACTTAATCGTAGATCGCAGGTGGGATTGTTTAAAGAAGATTCTTAATGAACGCTTGTATCCTTGTAAATGGATGTTTTTGAAGAGATGGATTCTGATGAAGGATTGAAGATGTGGACGGAAGGACGTGTTGCTGAAAGTAATTAGGAGATCACGTGTTTCAGGAAGTAATGTAATGTGAATAATGAGGAATTTGTTGAAGCATGTTTTACACGAGATGTAATTTATCTGTATTGAAATATCTGAAATTTTAAAACGCCTATTAATAAAATATTTTTGAAACAATAATTTGATGATTTGTAAAAATATATTTGTTTTTTAGAATGACATTTTCTGTAAAAGAATTTAAATTGATTTAAAATAGAATCAAATAATGAGGAGAGTTTATGAAGATATTTTTAGAAAAATAATTTCACAATGTCCATTATTCCTTCATGTTTTTAATTCAAAGAAGCATTCATTTTTTGAGAAAAAAATGTGGTACAAGATATAGTTCAGATGGCTAACTTGGATAATATTTCATAGATTTTTTTTTTAAAAAAAGATTTGTTTAAGAAAAATGTAATTTATTTGATGTTCATCAAGTTGGCAAAAATATATTTTATCTTGAGAATGGAATTTCACGCAGAAGGTGTTTGACATGAGATATAGTCCATGTTAGTTAACTTGAACAGTATATCAAAGATTTTGTAGTACCTACTATCGTTTAAGGATAAAGTGATATTGATGAAGTGAATTTTCTCCGAGAGAAATATATGACATGAAATATAGTTCATACAAGTTACTTAACTTGTATTAACCAGATATTGGAATATTTTAATTGTTTAAGGGTGAAATAAAATATATGAGAAAATATTTTTGAAAAAATAACTTGAGTATATTCATTAATTGAAAAAACGATTTATTATTTATTGTAAAGAATATATTTATTAATAAAAAATCACTTTACCTGATAATGAATAAATTGGAAGAAATTAGAAGAAATTTTTCTTCTGTATTAGAAATGGAGCCGAATAAAAGTTATTAGTTTTTAAGAAGTAAACGTATAATTAAATTCACCTTTTACTTTGCCAGTTTTTATACCTTAAAATGTATTTTTTATGAATCTCAAACAGACGAAATTTAATTAGTCTTCCAGGGATAGTTTCATCTAGAGAGGAACATAAAAATGCTATTAAAATATTATGAATTTGAATTTATTATTTGTCACAAATATAAGACTTTTCTTTTTTAAGAAATCTAAAATATTACCTGTTTAATTTTATTGTGCAATTGATTTACCAATAAATATTTAACAATATACTTTATTCATACGATAAAAATGCGAGAAATTTTGTCAATTATTCAATTATTTAATTTTTTTAATTCATAATTTATTTCGAATAAATCATTTGATACTCTAAAAAAGAAAGATTTTAGAAAATATTTTTGAGAAATATAAAAACTCTGTTTAAATTGTCAGCAAATTAAAGAGCATCAAATATCCGAAAGTATCAAGATTTCTAGAACAGTCGGTTCGCTGGAATTTCATTCGCGACACCAACTCACCTTCCAGCAGGCGGTCGTAATTTAATCGGCGATGTAATTGGCGGCGGGTGTGCCGGTCGTTTAAGAAAACCCTGGCGAATTCATTACGAGGCGGCGACGATTAAATCTTGGGGTCTGTGAAAGCTCGTATGTTCAGAGAAAATCATCAGTGCTAGAGCGGTTTCAATAACTCATAACGTTATCAAAAGACCAAAGAACAATCTTCCTTAGTATTAGTAGATTTAAGCTTGATTTTCATTCGAATAAATCGATTATAAAAATGAAGGCGAAATCTGACGAATTTAACTAAATTTTATTGAATCGTATTTCTTACGATGAAATCTCACAAATATTTCAATAATCTCATAGATTATTATCATGAAAAGATTTCTTTAATTAATAATTAGGCAATGTAATGACGATTGAATATTTTTTGATAAATAAGAAAAATATTTTTATATACTAACCTAAATATTATTCCTTAATATTATTCCTTCCGTTTCAGAAAATGAAAAAATTTAAACTTGTGAAAAAAAGAAAATCGCAAATACCAAAAATTTTGATAAAACATGATTTCAATAATTTAATTCATCATTCCATGTTTAGTTAGAATCGAAAACAAATGTAGGAAGAATATTTTATCGTCCATATTAAAAGAGAGATTTTAAATTAAAGTATTCCATATAATATTCTATATTTTTCACTAAAGAATCAAACTGGAACTAAAGTGTAGCAGACTGTAGCATTGTCCACTACATCGATTCAGAATCAGTTTACATGTCGAGTATTTCGACCAATAGAAACCATAAAAGAAAGAGCTTAGAAAACTCAATCATAGATTGCGAAGAATATAGTAGCTTTCACAACCAAACAAAGCTTTTAAATTAAAGCATTGTATAGCGAAACAAATTACTATAGTGACAATCAAGATTCTATACAGTATTCTACATTTTTCAATGAAAGATCGAAACAAAATGTCATTAAATCGCGAAATCGATCAGGCATCGTATTATGTTCAAATATTTTGACAAATAAATTAACGAAGTATAGAAGACAAAAGTTTGAAATCTCATTCATGCGTAAAAAATTTATAATTTTCATAATAAAAAAAATATAAAAAATAAAATTATCGAATAACTTCACTAACCGTTGTACTAACAATAGAAGAACTACGCATAACTTTTTATTTTTCAATGAAAGATCGAACCGAAGTTGAGGTATAATAGTTACTACACGATCGTGAAATCGGCCAGACGTCATACTTATTCGAGAATCTTGACAGAAACCATGAAAAAATTCAAAAACGAAAAATATATGCAAATTGAAAGACGAGAAGTATATCACCCACTATTTTTTAAAATATACTGAAGTGCTAAATCGAGAAACTAGATAGCAGCACCAATTCTCATAGTGATATCAGAACTTTGCAGAGTATTTTATAGTTTTCAACGAAAAATCGAAACAAAATGGTCATTATTCAATTACGAAATCGTATCATGTGTTCGATTATTCTTACAAATAAAAAACAAGCATTGAAAATAAAAGTTTGAAATTTTATTCATGCATAAAACAATTTACAGCAATCTTCATAATAAAAAGATATAAAAAAATAAAATTATCGAATACCTTTACTAATCGTTGCATTAACAATAGAAGTTCTATACATCACTTTTCATTCTTTAATGAAAGATCAAATCAAAGTTGAACTATAATAATTACTACACGATCGTCAAATCAGCCAGGCATCATAC